ATCCTGTTTAAAGCAATAGTATGAAAAACAATAAATAAATTAATAATTACTCAAAAAACCAAATCTGTTACGCGGATTTAAATTCTACCCTAGAAAGCATTAAAATTGTCTGAAATGAATATTACTTAATTATTGCATCTAAATTTTATTTCAAAAGTTGAGATGTGCATGTTACCCAATTTCATTATATATAACAAATGTCCAACTTCATGACAAGATTTCTTTGTTTACCCTGGCAAAAAAATACATCAAAATAAAGGTTTTTTCATATATTTGATTCAAGTAACAAAGCGTGATTTTTTTCTTTCATTTTTTCATGTCGGTCAAAAAAAATTTATTAGTGGGTTACATTTAACCCCCTGTAGTTATTATTATGCGACTAATTTAATCGGAATTTAAACTAGCATCTCTGTTTTACTTCGAAAAAATAATTATTCCAGAAATGGTTACAATTTATTTTTGCTAAATTAAAAATCATATCATGCGAAACATTCTAAAGATGAGGAAGCATAAATTTTTTCTCCGCTACTTAAATCATTATAATATCCTACTCATCATCAGACATCAGATAGTAACTTAATATTAAATCATTAATATTAATAATATCCAGAAAAATTCTTACGTGATCATTACACAAATTTCCATATTTATTAACTATTGATTGATTAAGTAATAAAAAAATATTACAAGTATTTCCAACACTTTCCATTTCTCATATCCACCACCATTACAATGGCTAATCCAATCCAAATACCCATTGGTCTTAATCTCAATCAAGAAGAACAAGAAGTCTTTTATAGATTGAATAGACGAGAACGATTAAGATTTAATGCCTTGCAAGACAATAATGCAAAACTTGTTTATATACAAGCACTTGTGGATAGGGAAAACTCTGATCGTGAAAAATCAGTATGTTTAACTAAAAGACATGCATGTGTGTTGTTATTATTTTACTAATACTGTTTTAGTTTCTTCGTCATTTCCTATCACAACTTATTCATTAGGACTTTGAACAAAAAATAAAGCACATGATAAATGGCGAACTAAGTCAAAAATAAAAAATCAAAGTACTCATGTAGTCTTGTTTCTTTAAATATATATTTGGTTTTGGATAAACCCAAGTGGATAATTTGGATGTCTTCCATGTTAATCTTTAATAGAATTATTACTCAGTCAAGTAAGGATATCTTTGCAAGGAATATAATCTAATATTGGGAACCTTTTACATTAACATCTTCCAATTTTCATTAAATATTGCAGAAAAACAGGAGCTTTCTAGACACTGTAGGGTGGTGAACATTGATGAGTTCCATACTTCTTCAGTCTGTTCTTTGTGTGATGGATGGTTTGATAAGCATCAAAAATTCTGGTCTGTCAGAGTCTGCAATCAGTCTGTCTGACACATTGGAATTGAGATGTTAACGCTGCCCATAACATAAGGAACATTTTTTTGCACACAAACACTTATAGAGAGAGACCTGATCCATTTATAAGGGGGACTTACTGACCTCTCTGCTGCCATTTTAACTGTGGCAGGATATGTCTAGCTGGTGACAGCAGCAGCAATGATGACTTTCTATGAATCCACAATCAGCTATAGGGAGGATTTGGATCTTCCTGATTTAGTGTAATAAGGTTTACTTGTTAAAATTTAAATTACATTGGCGTGGTGTAACTCGAAAAATGGAAGAGATTTTCGCCCAACACAAACAAGACCAATAAAAGGTTGCATGTATAATAAAAAAGCGTTTTCAAGTATTTATTTATTCTGATTTAACACTTAGAATCAACACTTTTATTATTATCAAAATCTTGGCATTTTTTCAAAAGCTTGGAAGAAGTATCAATATTTTACCGATTTTAGCAAGTAGTAGATGCAAATAGTAATGATCAACCAGTACTTCCGACATTACTGAAGATGATAAAGATGAAGGAAGAAGTCGTTTTAAAATTACTACAACAGTAGTGTTAAAATCTTTAGATTAGATACTATATTAAGATCCTTCCCAATGTCTTGTTTTCACATTCACATTAATTCAATCAAACAAAACTCAAATCTATATAATTAAGAGAAATATTTACTAATATTAATAATACTAATCAGTCAAGTACACATTTCGCGAAATTAAAAATAACTCAAATTCTTAATAATATAAATAAATTTCATCATTGTGTGTTGTTATTTATTTTCTTTATTTATTGATATACTTTATCACAATAAAATTAAATGCTAAATACACAATAAAAACGTGCTTGAGCTGTCTTTAGTGACAAAGTTTGAAATACACGTATACTGATCAATATTGATACGTAGAACGACTTGTTACTAAAACGGGATTGGATACAAGGGTTTGTAAGTTGTAATTTTGAAGTTTTAAAAAGTGATAAAAACGATTGTTGTTGTTGAATCAATCACTAGAGTTTGATGATGTTTAAAGTTATTCTTTAAATAATGCAATTTTATTAATAATTTATTTGTTTAATTAACATGAAAATGGCGCAAAAAATTTTTTAGGCGCCTGTTGCTTTGAAATGTCAATGATATAATAGCAATAAATTTTATATCTATTATTGTAAATATATGATTTTATCACCTTGAATTAAAGGAATGATTTTTTTTGCTTTTTTAACAGCTTCTTCTGAAGGAATAATAGAATTATCGTGGCTTCTAAATGTAAAATTTAAGCATTTAAGAGTTTTCTTTGATTTAGCATAGTTTGTAATAATTTCTAAATGATTATCAACAATTCCATGATCTTTATGTAATAATAATTTTTTCAATGGACATTTACAATTCTCCAAAAATTTTTGTAAAGATTCAGATGAAAAATCCCAAAAAAATAAAGCCAAAGAATTCAAAGAACGTGGTAAACATTCACTTATTTCAGAAAAGTCATTTGAAGAATAAACACCAGACGGAGAAGTGTTTGTCAGACGAAGATTTCGAATTTTTGTTGTATTTGAATAATGTAAAGGTTTAAGAATATCTTTGAAAATATTTGGTTGTTGTATTCTCATATCAAGATCTTGAAGATCTGGACAATTTGTTAATATAGTTTCTATAAGATCTGATGAAATAAGAAGCCTAGAAGATTCACTCATGCTCAATGTTCTTAAAGAATTAAATTTTGATTTACCAAGTAAATCAAATAAAGTTGTAAATTCTATATCGTTATCCAATAGTTCCAGTTTTTTGATTAATGATGGTGAATCAATTAATAATAATGACTTGAGATTTTCAGATGTGAGTCCAGAACACCGATTAAATCTTAAAGTCTCTAAATTTTTGCATGAAGCCAAAATTTTAAATATTGAATCATTTGTAAATCTAATATTGGTGAAAGTAAATTCTGTTAAGTTTCCAATTTGAGATCTTAAAGCCGATGCTAAAGAACCTAAACAATTCCAAGAAGAGTAAGAAATAAGAAGCTTCTTTAAACTAGCTTGTGATTCTATCAATGAATTTAAGCCGTCTATATCAATTTCAGAATCCATAACTTTAACATTGGAATTGTAATTGGGATTTGAGAAATGATGAATTTCAATGGTTTCTAAACTGTTGGAGAATCTTGATAAATTCTTGAGAATGGATGACAGGCAATTAAAATCTTGAATGTTTAAATGATTATTACTTGTTCCAATCATTGAAAATTTTTTGAGATTCGATAAACTTATTGAAATATTTGAAAAATCAATCATTTTCCAAAATGATTTTGGAATTAATAATTCTTGAAGATTTAAAGAATTGCTCATGAATAATTTAAAAAGCTTTATCGTTAATTGGTTGACAATTGAATTTTTGCATGCTAAAGAATCATCTCGTCTATCCAATTTAAATTGATAAACATACCAAACATTTACACAATTTGACAATTCTTTGAAATTAAGAACTCTCAAATATCTTGAATAATTAAATATCGGATTCCTTAGGTAATTAGGATGTAAATTTATGTTTAAATCACTCTTTAGTGAAATTTTTTCTGAATTTGACATGCATGAAATGTAAGTTTGAATTAAACTAAAAGATGACCTCCATCCTAATTTATTATTATCATTGAATGGCAACCTCCATAATATTGGTACAGTTGATCGGCACCAAATTCTATTCACAAATAAACAGTTGTAAAGTGTTGATTTGTCTTGTTCAAGTTGTTCGAATATTTCCTCGAGACATTCTGGTGGAATTTTCTGAAATGTTGTTGTTGCCATTTTGATTTTTGATTTTGACTTTGATTTGATTTAGGATGTGAATATGATTTCGACTTTGATATTGATTTTGATTTGGACTTGGATTTTTGATTTTGATTTTTGATTTAGGATGTGAATGTGAATGTAAATGTGATTTTGATTTTGATTTAGGATGTGAATGCGATTTCGACTTGACTGATTTTTTTAAACAAAAGATCAAAGCAAACACACACTTGTTTATATACTTAAATAATGGTGCTATGCTGTTAATTGATTCATATTTTCTCGGATAACCAACTAGTCCCTTTTATGGTGTATTTGTAATGCTGTGACGAGAAAATGACGATGAAAAAAATTCATGTAGAATGACGTAATATTGATGGATGAAATTGTTTGATCATTTTAGGTTAATCACTTATGAAAAACATCGTGATCCACCAATTAAGGAAAGTATTTTAATTTAATTAATGCCGATCCGGGCAAATTTCATAGTAAAATCAAAATTAATTAATTTTTCAACCCCCACGCATTTATTATGTTATTTTTATATCAAAATATGTTAAACAAATGTGAAATATTTACTTATTTAGGTCATGTAAAATAACATTATTATTATATATAATAATAATATATGCAAGACAAAGAGAATGAAAATTATAACTTCAAAATAATTAATATTTAATATAATAATAACATCATATCCTTTTCTTCCGACATCCTTTAGCAAACAAAAATTGAAAATAAACAGGCTATAGTTCATTCTCTCTATAACGAACATTGAATAAAATCTCTTTAATGAACTCTATAACGAACATCTTAGTAAACACTATAATGAAAAAAGACACATATAGGGATGAAGATTCATTATAGAGAGAATTAACTGTATATTATCTTATGTTTCCTTATTTAAAAATGAATTATGAAAATTATTTTCACAAATGCCAAGTAAAAAATTACAGGAAGCTCCCACGTTTTCTGAAATCCAGGGTTGCTAAGTAGCAAAGTCAAAAACTTGTAAAAAAAACAATAATAAAAAATATAATAATGGTTGAGATTTTTTGCATCATATTATTTAATATTCTGCGTAATATTCATCATGTGTGTTGATAGAAAAATTTGGAAGTTGGTCAATTGTAACCATTTGATAGTGATGATCCCCCACAATTTACTAATTAATTTTCAGAATTTTATCTACTTCTATCACGTATCACTAATTAAAGTAAAAAGAAAATTATGATATAACTTCCATGAAGAATAGGTATATAGAACAAATAGTATATATGGGGCATGCTGCAATAAAACCAGACAAAGTGAACATTAGTATTACCAAAAATTTCAGGGTTCAAAATTTAGTTGTTTGTAATGTGATTATAATTAACAATTTTATAATACAGTCAAACCTCGTTTCAACGGATCTATGGGACTGACTACCTAAATCCGTTGAAACGAGATAATGATCTACAAGATCAACAGGAAAATTTTAATAAGATTTAAATATAATAATAATACTTAATACAATACAAAAAATTAAATGCTACTTAATAGTCAATTATTTACTAAAAAACTATTAACGTTTGTTTGTATTGAATTTTGAATACTATATGATTTTTTTTTTTTTTAATGATTTTAAAGCTTTTAATTCATTATAATCTGCTTGTATATTATTTTGTTCAAGAAATTAAAAGCAGTTTCAAAAGCTTTCACATTTTTTTGGAAGAAGAAGATAGTTGTTGAGACATTTTAATTTCGTAGAATTTAGATATTTATTAATTTAAAGAAATCAAAGAAAATGTTGATTATGTAGAATTATTAGAAGGTATTTATTTTATTATCAATTTAGAAATATGGAAAATTTGATTAATATTATTAT